TATATATATATATATTATTTTGTTCTGAGAAAAGAATAGACAAATCTAATCAGTCAAACATTTAAATTTGCATTTCTATTTAAATTGCAAGTAAATGATTGCCTGGTTTTAAAGTGCCATTCTACAAACTGGTATGTGCATCGTGTATGAACAAATCTTTGGATATTTTAACAGATCACGTATCGTATGGGATAGTGTACTCAGGAATTTGAGATCGAATGACATTGGTCACCAGCTTCCTAACCATTTTATTTATGGCTTATGAATGTTGCATATTCTGTGAATGGAACAACTATTTATTTCTGTAGTTATACAGATGGATATACATATTGACAGGCAGACACATAGGGGTCATAAAAATAATTTGCACAGCTGTTCATCTAGCGATGGCATGAACATTCTCTCTGTGTTAACCAGCTGTTGTAAGAATAGGGGAAAATCATATGTTCTCAGGGTATTTTCTCTTTTGGTCCAATGTTCTTGAGAATATAAATAACATTATTCAGTTGCTCTTACTTGCAGATGAAATGAGCAATAGTATATTATGAATAGTCCACAAACTGGTGATGATGACTAAAAAAAAAAAATGATGATAGAAAAAAAATGTAATCTAGTCATGTTTCTAATAATTAGAATAATACTTATAATACTAATAATACTTAGTCAGTATTTTTTTATAAATAGACCCTGGAGTGTAGAGAGTGTTCTGGCAGTTGGCATATTGAGTACTCTATACTGGGTACAGCTACTATTTAACGGAGAAGTATTGGGAGACTAAACTGTTCTCTTCCCAATAGTTTGAGCTTTTGGGTTTTGAGCCGGCATGTGACACTGCGGCTATCATACACTGGCTCTATAGCTCGAGATCACAAACCGCTGATTGCTTAGCTCACAGTCTTCTCCCTGCAGAGAGAAGTGTCTGTTAGTCACCCCTTTCCTGCAAGGATTCCCCCGTCTCCACTCTGTTCCTCCAGAGAGCTTATTGGTGGAGAGATGGACCGGGGGGGCTGGGGATTGCACAGCTGCCTCTGGCTCTATCTAGAGAGGCAGAGCCAGCTGTCAATATTGTCGGGATATTTCCTGGCAGCTCTGCTCTGTCATCAAATAGCAGGCAGTAGCTCACTAAATGCTGACATTGGGTCATAGTAAGACATTTGTAAATGTATCTTTTGACCCAAAAGAGAACTAAAGAAAAAAAAAGTTTGCCTATAGTTTTTCTTTTAAGGGAATTCAAAATCAAAGATAGAGGTGTACTCTTGTCAAGCTTAAGCCAAAGCAATGTGCACTATTTTTGTCAACATTTCATTGTGTATGAAAATGTTTCACATAATTCTCAATTTTGTTGTCTTAATTTTTTTTATGATATTATATGTGGATATATATATATATTAGACGTTGCTGTTCTGTCGCTAATGATCATTAAAATACAGTATGTGTGATATTGATTAGCTAGAAGTTGCCGGGGCTAGAAGAAAGCAGCACCTCTCATCCTTGCAGTACTATTGTGCATTAAACGCCCTCCAGTACAGAAAGAGGACAGCAATGCTGGATCCTATTCTGGGCTACACACAAGGACAGGTACATTTTATGTCGGTTAACATGTCAATTTGCATTGAACAATTGCCAATATTGTATTCCACAAACCGATGTTGCAAGGTAGCACTAAGGACGCTGCATATTTTTGGACACCCTCTTTTTGCTATTTATTCTAGACAAGACACACAGTTTAGATGATATCTAAAATTTGCTTCAAGCAACTTTGACAGCTTAAGCATTTACACAAGCAGATTTTCAGAACAGCTGTACGGGCAGAATTAACTTCATAGGAGCACCATGTGATGTGGCAAGCATCGCCAAACACCAAGTCCTAAAAGGACAGCAAGGGTTCTTGACATAATGCTGTGAATGGGGAGAATCAAGGTCCAGTGCTGAGGCTGCTAACTTGTTACAAAACACCAGCATTTGAGGGCTCACTCCAGTCACCCAAAGGTAACAGCCAATCTGGATTACCCAGATGTGTCCCCATGGCAACTTAATGCTGACCTTGGGGCACCAGGAACTGGGAACACTACCCTATACATAATAATATGCCTGTATCATATGACATCTTCCAGACCTTAACTGCATACACTAGACCCGCTGCTAACATCAGCAACATAAACCTTGCCCTCGGTGCTTGGCCACAGAAAACTGGTAACAAGATAAACACCAGGAGAGACTTCCCTGACCAGACTGCTTGCATGTTGGCACAGTAAATGGCCATTCCAGACCCTACACGCTCTAAAACAAGCTCCAGCACCCCCACACGTGCCCAGGCAGGCTATATATATGCTAGAATAAAGTGGCTCATTAGACAAATCTATTTCATGGTTTTCATTTTATTTTCATAATATATAAAGTTAACCCTGGAAATAATATTAAAAAAAAAAAATACCCAACTTTGTTAGATGGGTATTGCTTATGTAATAACAATTTTATTATGAGTTCCCTGCATCCACTAAGAATACATAAATGTGAAATATAATGATTTTTGTCAGTTTATATATATATATAATTTGTTTTAAAGTTTGCACATTTAATAAGCTTGATAGAAATGTAAACCGCTTTAATTGTTTTCATTATATGCATAAAAGCATAGTTTTACAAATAAACATTTAGCACTTGGGGGTCTGTTTATTAAGAATTTTCATAGCTTATTCGTCCAACAAAACTGCAGGTACATTCGTTCTGTTCGAGTTAACCAGCTGTTGTGAGAATGGGGCAAAAATGAATGTCCTTAGTGTAATTTCTCTTCTGGTTGAAGATCCTTCAGTAGGTTCATTCATAGAGAGTAGAGTGAATGGGGAAAAATGCGGCCACTAGACGGAGTTGAAGGTCATAGGAATAAATACTTTATGTAACAATATACAATGGTTCAATTCTAAAGAGTGCTGGAGTGAATGAGCATATAATTGTAACCATTGCTACTACGGGTTCTCCGGTGTTCTCTTGGATTGTAATATTGTATTTCATTACTAACATGTTTTTCTTATGATCCTCATCCCCATCTAGTGGCTATAATGCAGTATTTTTCCCAATTTACTCTTTATGAATGAACCTGTTGAAGGACATTCGACTAGAAGGGAAAATACACTAAGAACATTTGAATTTGCCCCATTCTCACAACAGCAGGTTGACTTGCACATAACAAATGTACCTGCTGTATAGCTGTAAATCTTTTTTTATAAATAGACCCTATAGTGTACACATAGACACTACCCAGACCCAAAGCCTACATTTTCTTACCCTTACACTTTGGAGGTTACTAAATAGCTATATGGTTTAGATGTTTTTTTTTTTTTTTTTTTAAAATCGGAGCGGGGAGAGGGGAATCCCCTCATAGTTCTCCTTTTAAGGCAAACAAAAAACAAAACATGAGGCACAGTCATGTTCTGCCACCAGTCAGAATTGGTCTTATATAAAGCTAAATTCACTACAGAGCCGAAAGCTGACATCTTATTGGTTGGCCTGAGTTGCTGTATACCTTTCTGTTATGCTATGAAATAAAGGCCTGGATGCCACTTATAACATGCATGGGAAATATTTAATCATTGTACTCTATGATGAGCAATGAACACATGGTTTTCTGCAGTTGGGGCATTGTTGTGCCAACTCTTCTTGTAGGTGGTAACCTAAAGGCAGACAGTTCTGCATTATTTTAGATTCAACATTCTGAAACTAGAATTTGAATGCTGCAGAGTTAAAGCAGAATTCTTTACTGAATTTACTACACACTGTCAGCGCATGTCCTTTTTCCAGGCTGAAGGACATCCAGAATCATCTTGGCTTTTCCTCCCCAGCCCTACTGTTCCCACCCCACCCCTATCATTCATTGAATTTCAGTTCTTTTAATAATGGAGGCTCAGCATCACATGTGGGCGTTACTTAGGGTGGTCTGCTTGCAAATGCAATCTGTCTATGAATGCCCACACCTCTAGACTGACATCTACCCATCAAGGCATTTTGATAATGGCATAACTCCTCCCAGGAGCCAACCCACTGTTTGCATCAGGGCTGAGGGCTCTTAGGCCTCATCCACAAGTGCTGCAAGCACTATTTTGTTCAGACTGGACCGCAGTCATAACGTGCTTTGCGTTCCCATGTGACTAATCGCATTGCGGCCAGAGGGCGTGGCTACGATGCCATTCAGTTCAATGGACCCCTCCTGCTCCACAACATACTGAGCCGGCCGCAATGTGATGCAGTGCGTTCTGGCCAGAATCGGGCTGGAACGCACTGTCTGTCGTGACTGAGGCCTTAAGAGCAGTACTGAGGCAAGGTGCTGTGACATTTTCATGAAGCTATGTACAGCACCTAGCTGGCCCCTCCTACCATCCATGATCTCCCTGCATTGCATGCACAGTGACCCAGTGACTAAACAGGTTTTACAGGGTTAACAATGTAATTGGCCTTCTGATGTGGGGCAGGCCAATGAAGGCAGATTCAATTTCAGCATTAACGTTTCATAAAAGAATTTGTCATTCGTTAAAAGTTAATTTATGATATATGTGACATGTCATTTCAGAATACAAGGAGAACTTGAGACAGAAGCAGAGGCCATGAGGATTTCTCAACAAGAACTTCTGTCTGGTAGTGATGCCATGTATACTCCAGATTATGATGTTGTCAACCCTATCGTCAACCGAAACCTGATTCAGAAGGCTGGTTATCTCAACTTGAGGAGGTATAATGCTGTTTTCATTGGAGAAAGTAAACTAAAGCCATTCAGTAATATAGTGTTCATTCATCAATTCATAGTACAAAACAATAAATGTGCTAGGCTGTGCTATACCAACTTATTCAAATATTATGGAGTCCTGGACATCTAAAATTACTTTGGTATTATACGTTCATTGCTTAAAAAAAACAGTAAGGTCCTGCTGTAGTGTTTTCTGGGCTGTGCTATTGGAGACAGCCAGGGCACAGGATACATGCTTGCTGCATCAAGCTGTATATTAAACATCTAAGAATAACCAAATGGCTCCAACCCCACCCTCAACTAACACGTTTAAACAATAATAAAGATAATTGCCAAGATATAGTTCTGGAATTCCATTTTGCTGGAATTACTTTGGAATTGGCTGAAAATAGTGACCCCCATAGACTTCTATTCCCGTGACTAATTCCATTAAAAATAGCGGGGACTAGAAGTTAAAGCCCATCTCCGGCAATCTGAATACTACCCTTGCAGTGGGTTTACCCCCACAATGCATTGATTAAGGGTTCATGTATGCCTAGGGAACAGGAAAAAGCTGTTTTACTTACCCGATTCACGCTCCTGAGGACTCCCTCTGGCCTGCTAGTCCGGTCCCCGCAGTCTTTTCCTCCCTTCGCTCCAGCTGTCTAAGGAACACTGATGTCATCATGTCTAATGCAGGTTCCTTGTTCACTGGTTTATAGGTCACTATATTGTCATTTTTTGTATAGGAATAGCATCATCCTTTGTCACCCAAGAGGAACAGATACAAAACGCTTTTTCACAAATATAATCAAGGAATCCAAATCTGATTTAGCTGCTACGCACCACCCATATATGTACTGTTGAAATTATTTTGATCCAAGTACATCTTGTTTGGGCATATCTGATGTATGTTTCTGTCAGCACCTTACAGCTTAAGTAACTAGTGTGCCTTTTTGCAGGAAAACAGTACCAGTTCCTTTTGTTAGGATGCATCAACCTGATCTGTTACTTCTTTTTGACATGTCTGCATGTCATAATCTGCTAATATTCCTGAAATGGCAATGATATGTTTTATTTTGTCAAATGCTTTAGTCTGTGCAGGGTTTTTCTTTTCCATTTATAAAAGGCTTGGTAATAAAAGAAACAAACAACTATAATCCATACATATAATGACAATGAATACAATGTATGACAATGTATTTGTCAAATTATCAGTCTGTTAGAAATGGGGAAAGAACAGCTGAATATCAAACAAGAGATTTATCAGAGAATTAAGAAGATATAATCATGCAGCTTATGATAGAAATGTACAAAAAGGTATCAATTAGGTTAGGTTTCTCTGTTATTGTGGTGGTCCAGAGGGCATGAGCCAAGTATACACCTTCATGTAATTGGTCCATAAGGTCCCTTAGGGTGGCCATTGATGTGGTATGACGGGCTGGGTTTGGAATATGTGAATGGCAGGAGTCCTAAGGGAGGAAAGGTTAAGAAGGGGGAGTTGTGGGTGGTGCGGGAGGTAAGGAGGAAAAGAGAAAAAAGGGAAAGAAAGACAAAAAAAGGAGGCTGGTGAGGGATGGGTGGCAGCTTGGTCATTGCGAAAAGAGGTAGTCCAGCTATACCTCCTGGAATTGTCACAGTGGTAGGCTAGAAAGAAAGTATTAAGTTAATCAGGAAGAATCTCAGCATCATTGTTGAAATTCGACAGCAGGGTTGGTCTTTATCCAGGTGCAGGCTAGGGCATTATTCATTTTGGCATCTCCAGCAAAGGTTGTCACACGACGGAAAGAGTTTATGCAGGAGATATGGGACCTTGTACCACCTAGCATAAATAACTCTAGAAAGTAATACAACACATCGAGACGTTGACTAAATTATGCCAAACCACTGGTCATTTCTACAACATTATCTAGATAGTTTTTCAGGTGGTATGAATTTGAGACTGCGGCAATTTTATCCAGATCCTGAGATCCAACATAAGATAAAATGGGAGGAGTGTATTGTGGAGCCACATGGTGTTCTCCGCTGTGTTTTATTTAAACAAAGATTAGTTTCTGATCAAATGTACAGTTAGTAGTGAAAAATAATTCTAATTGACACAGTTGTAATTGATGAAAGGATGGTTATAGTCTTTTAGACTTTTAGATGGCTATTCCCTTATCCTAGTCCTATTTATTTGGTGTACATTTCACTTGCAAAATAATAACGGTTTTTGAACCTTCCAGTAAAACAGGCCTGGTCACCACAACATGGGACAGACTATATTTCTTCACACAAGGTGGAAACCTAATGTGTCAGCACAGAGGCGAGGTGGCTGGGGGCCTAATTCAAGACTTGGACAATTGTTCTGTCATGGCAGTGGACTGTGAGGATAGGAGATACTGCTTCCAGATCACTTCCCCAAGTGGCAAAACGTGAGTAATTGAAATGTGTATTTAATTTGAGTACACGGAGATAGCTGTGTAAAGTAATCTCCTTTGATGTTGTAAAATGGATTTCACAGGTCTGATTTGGCAGTAGATAGTAAATATGAAGTTGTGGCTGTACAAAGACATACCAGAGATATCTGATGCCCACGATATCTATTCTGTTGCCAGCCCCCACTTTCTAGAATGCCCCCCCCCCGTCATTAAGTTTGGCGTGTGTAACTGACCAGCCAGATACATTTTGGGAGAGTGTTTGCAACTATTTGCCTTCTTATATACAGCAGTAGATTCAGGGGACAGAAGGGAGGCAGAAAGGTAAGGCAAAACTCTTGGTGACCCTTGCTCTGCTAGCCCCCTTCCGAGAGAGTAGTCATTTACAAGCTAAGAAACCTATCCCAGTCGCCATTGTTAAAATGCTGACAAGCCAACACCACCGTTTCTCCACCCTTCCTCTATTTATGAAAGCTTGGCCAAGCTGGGCTTACACATTAACAGAACGGTCAAAGAGGGCAGAAATTACATTCTATCAATGAACAAATTTTTGTCTTTAAAACTTCTAAATGCAGGCACAGAACGACAGTATAGTTACTTGTGACATCACAACCTTTTTCCTTCCTCATCTTCCCTGGCTATGTGGGTGGGAAGATGGTGGCACTGCAATTATTATGCCCCATCTCTCCTTGGCTCACAATGAACTATATATCCTATCACACATTGATGATGGTTTTCTGTGTGGGGGGCGTTACATGTGCAGGACTGTGGGCAGGGGGAGCAATCCTGTCCACTGTCGCTGCCCCGAAAACCTGCAAACTATCCATCTGCAATCTGTTTGTAACACCCACTGTTCCCTTGAAATTGTGTGCAAACTCCCAATTAAACTATACAGGGGCGGTGAGGGGACTGGTCACCCTGATGAAAAGCGAGAAGTGTGTCTAGCTCCCCGGGACAGAAAATTGGAGATAGTGAGCCTCTGAAAAGTGATTTTGAAGAATTATTTGACAACACAGATGCTCCTGTAAGGTAAATGGGGCTTAGATTACTACTCTGTACACACGTAGCTACCAGACTAGTGAAGAAAGATTTTACCCGGAGTGAGGCCTTAACCCTTTTGGTACCACATATGTAAGTACTACCTCTGTGTCAGCAGGGAGCTGTAATCACACTCTTGCCTGTTTTAGCTGACTATTGGCTTCCATGTAGAAGTGATTTAGGCAGCTGTGCTCACTTCTACACCCCGTGCTGATCTCCTCCCTGCTGAAAGAACCAGGAAGCGATAACAATTTTGTCACTTCTGGGTTCTGAGATGTCACTCTGTGCTTGTTAAGCTTCAATGGGCTGCAAAGTTGACATTAGGGGCCAATACACCCATAATTTCTCCTTAAAATTACATGCACGTACATATGGAAATACTTGCGTTGGGTATTGCACACTCCAGAGTGAGAGTAACAATTTTAGGACCATTATACATGGTTAACTCTGGGCACATGCAATTTTGAGGCTTGACGTGTTTGGTATCTACTTAATTGGCAGAACCTCCTCAGTTATATTTTACCAAAGAAATGGGTATTCTATTGTGTTTTTGTGTGCACTAAAATGAAGTTGAATGCTTTTTTGGGGGGGTTTCATATACTGTTGCACTAATACTGTGTGGCATAAAAAAAAATGCAACCGCCACCTTTTTTTTTTTTTTTTTTTAGGGGATTAATCAATTTCAAGTTTAAAATGTACATTTTATCACATTTTCAGCTCTTTTAGTTTTAGATGGATTAGGGAAGGGCTAAGTGAAGCCAGGAAAGGCCCCTGGTTTTTTTTTATGTTCCTTTTGAGACAGGAACTTTCACTTCCTGTCTCAAAGATACAACAAGAAATCTCTGGTAAATGGGGGGAATTGTTCACTTTGGCAGTTGTCAGTAGTCACCATTAAGGTGCCCATACACCTTACAATTATAGTTCAATTTCTTTCGTCCCGCCATCGAACCCCCATTCGATTTCTGCTTGAATACCCCATCATGCACAGACCAATGTAGAGTTCGAATTTCATCAATCAACACAACAGATTTTTGATTGCGCAGGTGCAGTGTTTATGTTGTGATTTTCTTTTTTTCCGTACGAAAATGCCACTAATCCATTGCATTTCGTTGGATTCGAAAAAAGTTTTCCATCCTGACCAATCGTGTAAATTCGTCCAGTTGTACAGTAATTGGGATCATTCACTTCCCATCAACTGGTCGATTATCCGATCGCGTTAGTTTTTCGAAAGATAAAGATTGTCACCATTTAGAATTGGTGCCTGTTACCTCTTTTTCTGGTGAAAAAAAAAATGACATTTGAATTTTTTATCATTTCATTAGGATTTGCTTGCTGCCCAAATTTCTCTTTTGTCCCATTCAGGCAAGCCATTTATAAGTACGTCAATAGCTCCTTATAAACGTATGAATGAAAGGTACAGAATTTGTGCTTACGCATGCATGTAGGTAGAAAGCTAGGTAATATCTCTAATACCCTTACTGTTAATCGTGATGAAGAGAAAGCATATAGTGGGTAAGGCACTAGATTCTGTATGGTGGGCCGCTGTGGCTGTACTTCAATTACTTGATTTTGAAGCATCCTGTGTCCTTTTTGGGGAGTGGGCACATTTTTCCATCAACTGGGAAGAAGAAAATAGTCACTGTCTGCCAAAATGAGATTATTTTGAATTGTGGTGTCCACTTTTCACTGAAAGTTTGTGGTAACTAAAGATGTGTTCCGAATGTGTAGGCTGTTTATGAAAGCCTATCGATGTCCCAAAAATTGGAAAATGTTGTGTAACCTGTATAGATTGGCAGTTCTTTTAAGCTATGTGCCCATTTAATAGAGCGCTTGCACCTGTACCTAACAAAGACAAAAATATGTCTGTTTCTGGGGGTTTTTAAATTTCCTGAGTGATATTGCATGTGTAAAAGTACATGGGTATGGTCATTAGGTAACTTGCCTGCTTGATAAGGTGCTGGTGGAAGCAGCAATTCCCTAGTGTGCAGGGATTCTAGGAAAGTTTGGTTTGAGTGTCTAGAATTATTATGTGAGACACAAGTTGGGGTGTGACTGGTTTGCATCACAGCCTTCTCGCACAGGTGTGCTTTTTAACAAATATCTATGTTCTGTGTTACTTTTCTAGGAGCATCATCCTCCAAGCAGAAGGAAAAAGAGAATATGAAGAGGTAACTAACTACCTGCCATTCTCTGTCATTTTCTGTCCACCCCCTTCCCTTTCATTTACAAAAATATATTTTGTTTGATTTAATCATGGCAATGCAAAAAGCGCAGTAACTGATAGCGTTACTTTCTATTAATTGGAGTCATGGGGCAAGGCCTTGAACATGTGGCCTTCGATTGTATAAGAGCAGTGTGTATAGCAAGCATCTACAAAGCATATGCAAATATGTCATCCAGCTTCAAGCAGCTTTGTTGAAGCCTTTAAAGCAAACTGGAGCTCACGTTTGGTGCAAACAGAGATCTTGATAAAAGTGTTGACTGTCACACTAAATAAGCTACTAGGCAGGTTTATTAGGTTTGGGCACTGCTTGAAATGTGTTGAAATCCTGCTGAAGCCTGCCAGTAGCTTGATTACAGTAAGCACTGCCGTTTTGATCTATGTTTAACTTCACCTTTTTAGGACCGAAGTGCCATGTAAAGAGTTTAACAAAGCTGCTTGAAACTCTTGCTGAAAGCTTTGCAAACACTTTGTAAAAGCTTGCTGTACACCTCGGTCTTTCACATACTGAAGTCTGCATGTACAAGGCCTTTTAAAGATAATTTATCATTGCTTATTGTAGTCTAATACACTTTGAACATCATTACTTCTTTCAGTAAGGCTTTGTGTGGTCATTTACCTATGTGCTTTCTACTATGGACAGACAAATTCATTAGTATATATAGTTGGTAAACATTATAAACTTTGTTTTTCCTACCAATATAATTATTTTTCAAATTGTTGTCATTTTATTTTCTATATGTCCCCCTTTTTTGCCTCTAGTATCACACCATTTCTTTCTTACTCAGCTGTCACTGAGCACATATATTCTTTGCAGTTCGAAAGTGTACGTCCTAGGACTTACAGTGAATTTGTGTTGTGGGTAAACTGCAGGCAATTCATGAGGGCTGTGCATATGTTCTCATGCATTCTAGGTTGCTCCAGCCTTATCATTTTTTCCACACTCCTAGCAAGTCCTCTCCTGTGTTGAAACTGAATTCCCTGCAAACTTTCATCTCCACAATATAACCCTTTGAAGCTACAGCAGCTGTCTTGGGCCCACCTTCATCATTTCTCAATCACTTCTTCTCCCATACTGTTGTTTGCCACCCTCTCTCAGCTATTCGCTTTCTCTGCCATCAATCATTTTGTTCCTGGGCTTTATGTGGAAGAACACATTCCCAGCATCCCTTTAAATGTGCCTGCAACCAAACAGCAGACTGCACAGATAAAGTCTGGAACACCTCGTGGCCAGCAGGGAGAAGCCAACACACCTAAAGGGATCCCAGGAATGCGTTGTTTTAAAAATAGTTTTGGAAAAGATCCGAGGCAGAATGCTGTGATGTTTATGGGAGCTGCTGTCCTATCCCACCAAACTTGGAGCAAAGAGCAGCAGACAGGCCAAATGATGACATAATAGTCAGTGAATATTATTATTCAGCGAATATGCTATAAGAGTTGTTGGAAACTGAAAACATGCAATTGTAGTTGTTGGGGACTGAGAACATGCCATAGTAGTTTTTGGAGACTGTGAACATGCTACAAGAGTTGTTGAGGCTCAGAACATACCATTGTAGTTGATGGAGACTGTGAACATGACACACTAGTTGTTGGAGACTGTGAACATGCTACAAGAGTTGTTGAGGCTGAGAACATGCCATTGTAGTTCTTGGAGACTGTGAACATGCTATAGGAGGAGTTGGAGGCTGAGAACATGCTTCAGGAGACATAGACAAGTGACACATTACATGAGACTGCTATAGATCACTGCTATTACATAGCAGTAGGAAAACCCAAATTACTGCATGCAAGAGCAACGAGGGCTGCACAAAAAGTGCCAAAGGGCAGCATGTGGCCCCTGGGTCATAGGTTGGCACCAGAGATTTAGAGAGTTGATAGACCATCTGTTAAAATGTTACATTGTGTTTTCTCTCTTTTCATTTCTCCTCAGTGGATTTCTGCTATCAATAACATTTCAAGACAAATCTACCTGACAGATAATCCAGAGGTAATTTATTAATACGTTATTATCCTGGTAGTGTTTTTAATTTGTCCTAATGGTCTGACTGTCCTCAATTTCTTCTATTAGGCTGTAGCTATTAGGTTAAACCAGACGGCTCAGGAGGCAGTGACCCCCATCACCAGCTTTGACAGAAGAGTTGAAAATACACAGAACAGGTAAAAGCCCTCATATTGACTTATTTGTTACATTCCATTATTTATTTTTAGATATAAATAGTAATGCATTTTTCTTATTTTTAGTTTTGGACTGAGTGGGGAATGTTTTTTTGTGGTCTGTGTCCTCATTGGGGAGAGTTCCCCTTATACCTGTTGGGATAGAAAGCAAAGGGTAATCTCTGCAGAGGGGATGCAGACTGTTGCACAACAGTTTTTCTGTAAAATGGGGAATAATTAGATCCTCTGTCAGGTTTTTATTACTGTCCGTGACTTTATGTCCTATTGACGATTGTTCTTTACATTTCTTGTCCTGCTGTCATGGGCTGTCAGAAGAACAGAATATGGGGTAATATCTCCCCAATGGGATCTTGGACAGCAATAAAAATTCAACAAAAGTATTTACCTTTTTTCAAGTTTATCCAAAACTTAAAACAAAATATTGGCTGGAGCTGGTCTTTAATATATGTGATGATGACTTGTGCTTGTACATTTTAACTGTACAGTGAGAGCATAAGACCGACTGTACAACAAAATGAGCCTACCAACCACGTGACTGAAGATGCCACAGAGGAACTACAGCCAGAGCAGTTAATAGTCCCGGGCACACCAATTCAGTTTGACATTGTCCTGCCAGCCACTGAATTCCAGGACCAAAACAGAGGAAACAGGTATGAATTGTCACAGTCATGACTTCACATTTTAATTGCTTGATGAGATCTATGACTTTAGATAGGAACTTTACTCCGTCTATATTCAGAAGTGAAAACTCCTGCTTCATGTCACTGGATTCTTTGCTGTTCAGTTTTATTTTTTAGCCTTACGGTGGGTGGACAAGCCTAGAGCAGGCTTCAAGAAAGTGGAGTGTTTAAACTAGGCAATACACTGTTTCCATATTTACAGATTCAGGTCAATACAGAAAATTAGCAATACTATCAGTAATAGGGATTTAGAAAGCGGGACAGAAAGGTGAATGCCAGAATAAATATCAGAGACACACTGCAGGTTTATAATAAACAAAAATTTCTCTCCCGTTCATTGAAGGACACAGGTAACAGATCGTAGATCCTGAATGGTAGGGTAATATCGCCACCTGCAGGAGAAGGACGTGAGGCACAAAACTAAAGACCAATTACAGCCTAGGGGCGGCCCCTGCCGGTGGCCAAACCCCCCACCTGCTGACAAGTCTCCAGTTTTTTTGCCTAGCGTCAGGAGTAAGGAGCTAAAAAATTTTCTCTGGAGAATTTTTTTCCTTTCTTCCGTTTGACTTGATTTTTCTTCTAGCAAGTGTCCCCAGGGTGACAGGCTGGATGACTGTAGATCCTTGTAGTCTCCCCTGGGTGACCGACGAGCGCATGCAGACTCTGCTACGGTGGGTCGGCTGCGA